TCAAAACAACCCAACAGCTGGGTTTGTCCCTTGTTAACCCAGCGCTGGGTTATATTTAACCCAGCATTTTTTAGAGTGTACTACTTGTTTCAGAATGCACAGAGAAGAATCAATGTAAAAGCAAGTTTCCCATAATGTTTGAAAAATGATAAAATGGAATGTTCCCTGTATGTTCACATATAACAAAGGCATAACACTTTTTAAAAAAATATAAAAATGTTGAGCATTCAGAGATAACTTTTTTATAACTTGATGGGAACGCTAGCAAAACATTCTTAGAATTAACATTTATAATTATTATCATGGTGGTTTTCTCTAGTTCTGAACTCTGAAATTCTTTGTTTTGTTCTGAATGCATGTATGTGATTCGGATTGTAAAGTTTAGGGTTTATATAAACAACTTTCAGAATCTGAAATCGGATTGGATTCATTCGGATTGGCAAACATTAGTGCATGTAAACATACTGATTGTACTTTGATTTCAGCTGTAGCAAGTCAAGTCACCTTTATTTGTATAGCGCTTTATACAATACTGGTTGTGTCAAAGCAGCTTTACACAGTCAAACAAGAAAATAGTTTGTCAGTGATGCAAGAAGACAATCACAGAGTCATTTTTTTTTTTTATCTAACATCAGTTCATTGAAAGTTTTGCAAATGCAAAGTAAGTCCTTTTGTTTCTTACATTAGAAGGCCAAGAACTGCACAGATGCCCCAGGTAAGCAGGCCATTGACATATGTGATCTCTGTGACAATCTGCTGCTGGCAGTGAACACATTTCATCTGTCCCGGGAAGTCAGCTAGACGCGGTACCTGTGACACCACCACTACCGGCTGAGCAGAAAAAAAAAAATGTTTTAAATAATGATAATATTTTCTTGAAATTTAGATTGTTTCGAGAAATTCAGCTTAATCTTTAATTCCTACACACTTAAAAATAAAGGTTCTTTATTGGCATCGATGATTCCATGAAGACCCTTAAATGCCCATTATACTTTTCAATGCACAAAAGGATCTTTTAGTGCAAAAAGGTACTTTAGATTATTAAAATATTCTTCACAATAAGAAAAAGTGGCAATTTTAAGGCCTGTTCACTGAAAGGTTCTTGGAGGTTGGTCAGTTGGGTGCTTGTGAGGACAAACATGTTGGTCACCAGCATGTGCTGAGTTTCTAATGAGTAAGTCAGATGAAGAGAAAGGTACGCTGACCTGTGGCAGGTGCTGATGCAGGCTGAGCCGCTGGAGTTGCAGCGACTGAAGTCATTGGAATGCTCTGTGTGGTTTGAGGAGGATAAACTGCAGGTACCGGGCCTGGAAAATCCTCATGATAAAAACTGACAGAACCAGTTCAACTCATCTCTCTCAGATGGAAAGAAAAAGGTAAACTCACCTGGTTGAGGTTGGTATGCAACTGGTTGTACTGGGTAGGGTACTCGGTTAGTTGGGTTCACCGGAGAACCAGGATATGGAGGGAGTTTGGGATCTTTCTCCATTATTAAAGATCTGTGAGATGAGAAAGAACAGCGTATAAATTGCCATCTGTCTTTCTCCTTTAAACTCTATACTTCAAAATTCTTTAATGTTGTATTAACATAAGATCTTCCATGTATTTACAGCTGGACCTGTCCAGCATGTCTGCCACACCCTTATGCGTGCCAGGTATTTATTTTAAACCAAGTTCTTAAAGGGGATAGTTCACCCAAACCTGTATGAGTTGCTTTCTTATGTTGAACACAAAAGAAGTTATTTTGAAGATTGCTGGTATTTTTTTTCCTACTGTGGAAGTCAATGGCAACCACCAACTGTTTGATTACCAGCAATCTTCAAAATATCTTCTTTTGTGTTCAACATAAGAAAGCAACTCATACAGGTTTGGAACGACATGAGGGTGAGTAAATGATGACAGAATTTTCATTTTTGGGTGAACTATCCCTTTAACAGATGAGAAGGATAATTCTGAAAAAGTGCTAAAGTCAACCAATCAAGGAAATTATTGTAGACCTTTCCAGCCCAAACTTATGCCATTACCATATACACACACACAAAAATACTTTTGTTTCTCTTTATGACGACTCAACAATTTAATATAAACCGAAAAGGTTTGTCACACTGCCCATTGATTGTAGACAGACCGACACAAAGATAGCAAAACCTTCATCCTTAAACCTCACAGAACAACCAGAAGTCAACTGTCAACCAAAGTATAGTAATTTTATTACTGTATTTGTCCATTTGAAATTCACAAGAACACATACCTGGTCTCTGGAGAGCTGTGGAATATCTTCCCTAGAAAGTCACTGGTCGAGTACGGAGAGAGTACATTAAACTCACAGTTATGTCAGCCAGTGATATATAGATATAGAGAGAGAGAGGAGGGGAGGGGATATGTATATATATGTATACAGTATATTTCTTGTGTGCATATAATGACATAAATATGGAAAATTTAATATTCATACTATTTGCTGTGACTGTTCACCGTTGCTTTTGAACGTTCCCCACTATTTTAACTGCTTTTTTGTTTTTGTTTTTGTTTTTTAACTGTAGTTCACTTTCATTTTCCTGCAGTCTGTTTAAAAGTCTACATGTTATACACACATTTTATATTCTGTTTTTCTATTTGTAAGTGAATGAGAGCTTTTGTCTCATTAGGTATCCCTACATTTGTGAAAAATAACAATGTCCTTTTCTGCATTTAGTTTCTTTATGAAGCTTCAGACCTGTAGCCAAATGTAAATGTACTAAAATGAACTTGTATTAAATGGATATTTGAAGTAATTACAATACAGTTTTCATAAATTACATAAGATTAGCCAGTCTGGTTATTTATGACTTTTTAAAATCAATGTGGTTCTTGTCTTTCTATGCAAACAGAGTACAGAAATAGTTCAGAATGAAAGTAAACATCTTTTCTAAACCCTCCCTCTGTGTCACATTTATGTTCAGTTTTAGCTTTGGTTTCCGTGATAGTTCATAGTTAGTTGCCTTGTTCACTCATTTGATTAGTCATTCTATTCAGCTATTACCCAATTGGTTCGCTTTTTTTGATCTGTGTATATAGTTTCTGTGTTTTCGGTTCTCATTTGTCCGGTCTCATCTAAGTATGGTTGTGTTAACTTGCCTGTCTTCTTTTGGATTTTCCTGTGAATATTATTAAAGATTGAATCTGAATCTTCTTTGTCGTCCTCATCTCTACAACTAAGTGTTGACACTCTGTGCAGACAGTGGAGAAAAATAAAGAAAAAAATGTATAAACTATAAAATAAATAAATAAACACATAAAACAGATGAATAACATGATGAATAACACAATACATAAAAATACACATAATGATAAAAGTTATTGTTAAAGCTAACAAACAAACAATAAATAAAACAACCAACATACTTTTGTTTCATGTTCCTGTCTTGTCTGGACTTTTATGTTGAAGTGTTTACTGTGTGCTGTTCCTGTTTCCTTGCTTGCCTTGCTTGTCGCCATAGTTACCCTTGTTTGTTCCCATAGCAACTAATCACCTCCACCTGTCCCTAGTTAGCCCTGGTTTTCTTGTGTATGTATATATACCCCAGTGTTTTCCTATGTTATTTGTAAGGTCTTGTTCTTCATGGCAGTAAGTTTGGTGTTCTCATTCTGTTTGCTGTTCCTGGTTATCTGTGCGTTGTGTTTGGCTCATTTGTATTTATTTGTAATAAAGCTCACTTGGATCCAGCTCCTCTTTGTTTTTCACCTCACTTTACACTTCACTGTAATAGTAACCGTCATTTTAGACAATCACACTTCCATCAACATCATCTTCCAGTGTAATGTCACTGTTTTCCATGTAAACAAATTTGCCCCTAGTTTTCTCAAATAACCATGATTTTTTTTTTTTTTTTTTTGAATATTGTTTTTTTCTCCATTGAAACCTAAGATGATAATTATCTAAGCCAGGCAGCAGGTTAAGAGGTTCTATAGATTTATATTTTACAGCTATACACTTTTTTTTTTTTTAACTCGCTGGCTACAAACATGTGAAACTACATTCAAGCTACTATAAAAAGTAATTCATAGTACTTACTGCATTAAATCTGTGTATTGTGCACTGAAGATGTGTAAGGCAGTATATTTTTAATTATGTGGTTAAATAATATATAATTTAATGGAAAATGTATTGATTTTTAATTAGGATTTCTGCTTGGATATGTTCCAAAATGCTCCAAAATTTTGCATGTGTATGAAGAGATATAGAGAGATGAATACTTTCCTTCAGAAAACCCAATTTGCAATGCTTTGCCTGTCAGATACTAGATACAGATATTGTTATTATCCTTTTTGTGTGTGCATCAGAAGGACACTGGATGCATCTTAATGGGGAGGATGGTAAGCATAATGTAGACCAAACAAGCATGAATAAAATGGTTGGTCTGCCCTCTTGTGTTCCTGCAAACAGCCAGTGAACCAATTCCACATTCCAATTATTCAGTAAAAATACCTGAGATGAGTATCCATTTGTTCAGCTCTGCTTTGTGAGTGCTTTTGTAACACTGACCATTTAATGTCCTTCTTGAGCACTGCCCAGTCCAGATCTTTTCACTTTAAGCTTCTCACAGTCTGTTCCTTAGTTCCTCCAGTACCTCGAAGTGAACCTGAGATTGTTGTTCTCCAAGTTCTTACAAAAAAAACGGGTATCAAAGAAAACAACTCTCTTCATCTTCAAGAGTGGTGTGCATGATATCTCTCTGGAGTATGTGCATGATTTTTAGGCCTAACTGGATACTGCAGGCCAGTGGATTCCAGATTTTTCTCTATTTATTCTGAATATTTATGTACCCTCTGCCAAATCTCTCCTTTTCGATTGTTGAGGCAAACACCACCAACCTGAAGCTTCAGGTGTGTGTGTGTGTGTATAACAAGTGATGTTCCACTGCAAATAGAGCTTAAACAGGAGTTGTTTTATTCATATATATATATATATATATATATACACATTATTAAAAACATAAATTTGTATATACAGTCCCAGTGGAAAGCATGCGGCATCCTTCCAGAGAAAGTGTAATTCTATTACTAGAAATATCTGTCTAAACTATTGTTCTACACATTTGTCAGGTTGTGATTTAATCTATGCATCTGTTCTACAGGATTTCAAAATATAAACTCATTAACTCCCATATGAAATATACGAATGGATTGGATAGAGATATTGCAACAAAAGGTAAGTTAATAGACTTTGTAGTGGTTGTGTACAGAAGAACAAAAGACATCTCTTCGGTCACCAAAACTTTGTAATAGGGTAACATAATGCAAGTTCTCAGTTTTTTGATGGTTCTTCATGTTCTCTGGTGCAGCATGTGCTACAAACGTTTGTAAATGCGGATGATGTTCTTGCAGTTTGGACAGGTGTGTTTCACATCCTTGCATGTGTCCACACAGAATGGGATGCAACAACAGAGCCAGCACCTGAAAAAACACAGCAGACAAGCTCTAAATATCAGCAGTCTATGAATTAAATATCAGCAATCTGTGCATACTTACACAAAAATCACAAGGCTTCCGAAGATTAACCAGGTGAGCAATCCATTGATATATTCGACTTCCGTGATGATGTCCGTCATGCAGTGAGGACAGGTAATGCGGCCTGGTATATCAGTGAGATTCATGACTGCCATCTGGGCAACTGCATATGTAAAAATGCATCGATTAAACGCGGAACGAATGCAAAAAGAACAGCTAGTGTAAGCTAGTATTTGCACAGTAAACCATCAGAAGGACATCCATCAGATTAACAAATAAAAATTTTAGGGGTTGCAGGGCTGTGCCTTTCATTATTAGAGATATTTTAGTAATTAATTATAAATAGATACTCTCTTTAATTCATAGCTTGAATAAAAATGTTAGAAATACTGGGTCTTGGGTGCTGGAAACTCACCTATAGGGACCATCGTGGGCTGGATAGTGATGGTTGGATACCCAAACCCATATGGAGGTGGCTGGGAAGGTGCAGCTTGTGGACCTGTAAAAGAGCCAAAGCACTGGTTGATATAACACTGAATTGTTTGATTCCTGATTGTTCGGAATCAAGTTCAGAATTTTCACAAACTACTCGAAGAACGTGTGAAGGTTAGGCCCTTTTAAAACAGGACATTACTTAAGTTTCAATTGTTCAGTTGCTGATTTAATTGTGTTCAGGATCATTAACATGCTATATATATTATCCAGTCGTGAAGCTTTGGCTGATGGATGGACATTGTGAGGTTCACCCGTAAAATTTGCTTGTATATTCCAACATTCATTGTTCTGTGACTTTGAGATGCCCAGGAAACCCAAGGCATCTTTGTTTTTTTCTAAAACTGTCATTCTTCTGATAACTTCCAGGATGAATATATATATATTACACAGATTTTCACAGTCAGAGATTTCACCTCTATGGTGTATGTACAGTATGTTTCCATGTTTGCCACTCTCTCCAATAGTCATTCATTAGTACCAATCTACTGGATTTAAAGGTATAGTTTAATTTTAGTAGTAGAGTTCTAAACAAATATGTGGGTGGATTTGGATGTGACAGGACAACAGAGGATGGGCCTTTTCATTAAACGAAATGCTATTATTGATTATGGACTGCTATTTGGCCAGAAGCGACGGTTTGAAATTAAAATGCCTTGATGGATTTGTTTCTTACAAACATGCAGCTTTTCGCGTCACAAGACATTAATTGATGGACTAGAGTGGTGTGGATTACTTGACGGCACCCATTCACTGCAGAGGATCCATTGGTGAACAAGTGATGTAATGATAAATCTGTTCAGATGAACAAAAAAAACAACTTATCTACATATTGGATGGCCTGAGGGTGAGTACATTTTAAGTCATTTGTCATTTTTGGATGAACTATTCATTTAATAGAGGTCAAAATATTGTAACAGTTTCATATACTATTCTTACACTCATAAATCATAATCTGAGATCACACAAGCCAAAGTCTGTGTTTGTTTTACAGGGAACATCTGACGTCACAGATTGAAACATCACATATTTGACTTCCTTATAACCCATTACATAAAACTGATAATACGTGTACTGTTTCTACAACAAAGACCGTTGAATATTGGCTCACATTTTGGGGTTGAGATTCTAAAGCAGGGGTGCCCAAACTCGGTCCTGGAGGGAGTGTCCTGCAGAGTTTAGCTCCAACCCCAATTAGACACACCTGAACCAGCTAATCAAGCTTTTTTTTAGGTATACTAGAAACTTCCTGGCAGGTATGTTGAGGCAAATTGGAGCTAAACTCTGCTGGACATTGGCCCTCCAGGACTGAGTTTGGGCACCCCTGTTCTAAAGTTTTCACTAACTTTTATTACATTGGTGCGTAATCATCCTGTTCGTTCTTATTAGTGTGATTAAAGTGGAAGATCAGCTGACCTGCTTGAGATGGGTATGCTGCCTGCTGCCCAGGGTAGTTTATGCCTGTCTGGTCCATATGAGGACTAGAATAATGCGGGGGTGAGTAGTCTTTCTCCATTATCAAAAACCTGTGGATGCAAAAACATAAAGACGAGGAATTGGAAAATAGACGTACGTTTCTTTATATTCGTCATGTAATTTTCTCTCTTTCCTAATCTTGTTCTGCTGATTTTTCTATCGCTATAGTACATGCCACAAACGGCACACACTGTATATATTATCATGATAGCACTGACTTATCAATGCAAAGATCAATAACATATCCCTTTATGTACTTGACATATAACAAAAGCATAACCTTCACTTTAATGGAAAAATTGTGTGCACAACACGTACCTGTGAGTCCCTGTATGCGTTGTGTTGCTTCTCCTCTCAATGTACAGCAGGATCTGGATGGCTGTGAGCGAGAGGGCGTGGACAGCAGGCTACAGTCATAAATGTGGGCATAAAACTACAGACGAGATAACAGTGACACTTACTGCATAGACAGGGTTATCTTTACATCAGTTGTGACCAACCTGCCTGTTTTCCAAGACAAGGAGAGAAAGAAAGCATCATTATCATGCTTACCAAGTTATTTTTCCACTTGTTTACATACTTCCTTTTAATGTTAGAGCAAATTTTGGCAGACTTGTGATTTAGATGGCACTGTCCATGAACAGGTTACATAATCGGGCCTAAATCCTAAATGATCACTCAGGAGGGTCTAACCAGATGGGAACCAATTGTTGGTTTTTGGCTATTGATAAACTTGTGAAGATGTTGTTAGATTTTCTTCTTATAGTAACTTAACAGGGTTGAATAGTTCAGTTTGATGAATGCAGTCGACACAATTATATCAGTATTTTTTTTTTTTTTACTTGTCTTTATGCCATGCTGTAAAAAGATCCAAATGATGTCACTTCCTGGGTGTCAACCTTGTTAAGCAATGTTACATGTTATGTAATAGGGCAAAGTCATGCATTAACAGGAATGCGTATTATGTTTGGTTGTTGAAAATGACAAAATATTGACATTTGATGTGTCTTTTATGTGTTTAATTTTTAATCAATAGCCTGTTTGTGTAGTACCATATGCAGATTATAAACCACTTTATCATGTTCTGATTTGATTTAAATGGTTTGATTCCTTTCTGATTATATTTGTAGTGTGTTCATACACTGCTTATATGTAATCTGAGACCAGATTTGTGACTTTACTGCAGTCCAGTTCCTCTCTTCCACTTCTTTTGGGTGATGTACACACGCTGTAACTGTATCGTTATATTTTGCTCTGTCAGTTGTACTAATTGCTCGTAAAACGTTAATGTGATACTGCATCATAGGAGGAAGTTTCCATCAACCCAGTGAAACAGATGAGTGCTGTTCCATTCTGTTGATTCATATCACCTCAATTTGAGTCCAGCATTTCCTGGAATTAGTCAGTTATTAACCTTAGTGAAGCAACATGATGTCAATTAAAATCCTGCTAGAAAGAGGAAGCACCTGACTGTAGAAACACAGAGAGGCCAGCATATCCTGGGTAAACAACTGACCATGTCACCCTTCACAGTCCAGCATGCAATGCTGAAAATTTGTTGTTTTCTGTGAATTTGGTGACATAAACCTTTATTTTGCTAAAGAATCTAATGTTTAAAGCCTTGATTTTCCATGCACTGAAACATCTACCATCTTCCTCATCCAGTACATTCAGAAGTGCCATGAACGGGACATAAAACGTCCATAAGCTTGCATTAATCATATCTGGGGTTCTGCCTTTTCCTTCTCTGATACTGTTTTAAGGGGGAGACGGAAGAGAATTATATCATTTATTTATTAATGTTGCTTTCATAGCCTGGTTATTTCTTAGGTTAAATCCCAAATCCAAGGTCTGGATGTGGACGCTTTAACAACAGGAGCACCGACACACGGCATCCCAGCTCAGCTGTGCTGCAGGACCAGTGCGTGTCAGACCTTACCTCTGCTCAGTTGGAGTGATACAACTTCATTTTCATTCCACACACATTAAAGCAGTCGATCAAGAACAATTTTTGGCATCATTGGGTTTCTGATAATGTATAACACTGCCAGCAGTTTAAGACCGCAGCTGTTGTAGTGACAGCATCTCAGATGTGTTTCTCTGTAGGGTGTGCGATGAGGAGGTTTGGTGTAAGTTTACTGTGGATAACCTGCGGCTGGCAGAGAGAGAGGAGGTGGCGAGCCAGGCCTTGAGGCGGCTGATTGAACGGGTACTGCAGGAGATGGCTGAGGATCTCCGGACGCGGTGTGCCGCTGTAGATCGGGCCTTGAACCAGTGCTGCATGGAACTGAGCCAAGCCAAAACACAGCTGGAGCTGCACCTGGCACAGGCAATACACACTTACACAAAACAAAAGCCAATACATGTACACAAGGTTTCACATATTATAGGGTCTATTTAATCTGCAGATTTCATACAAATAAACATAAACCAACGGGTTAAAATTTTGAACACTATCAATGTTTAAAGGAATAGTTCACACAAAAATGAACATTTACTGAAAGTTTACAGATTTGGAGAAATGTAGCATTCCATCATTTGCTCACCAGTGGATCCTCTGCAGTGAATGGGTGCCGTCAGAATGAGAGTCCAAACAGCGGATAAAAACATCACAATAATCCACAAGTAATTCACACCACTCCAAGTCTGAACTTTAAACCATTGCTTCTAGCCAAAATATCTTAGTCCATACTTCATAATAACACTTCCTCCAGTGGAAAAAGTCCATCCCCGGTAACTGATGGATTGGAGCAGTGTGGATTACTTGTTGATTATTGTGATGTTTTTATCAGCTCACTGCAGAGGATACACTGGTGAACAAATGATGGAATGCTACATTTCTCCAAACCTGTTTCTATGAAAAAACAAACTCATCTACATCATGCATGGTCTGAGGATGAGTACATTTTCAGCAAAATGTAATTTTTGGATGACCTTTTCCTTTAATATGTCTGTGTAATAGATTCTGGAGCAGATTGGGGCTCAGGAGAGGAATATCTCATCCCTGCAGCAAGCTGTGTATGATAAAGAAGCTCCGCTCAGAGTGGCTCAATCTAGACTGCATTACCGAACCTTCAGACCCAACATGGAGCCGTGCCGAGACCAGCCTCAGCTCAGGTACATAACACAAAAACATGCACACACTCCCAACACGCATAAACCCATCTGATGTGTGTGTGTGTTTATGTAGTTTGTTAGGTGAGGCGTCAGAACTCAACAGTACAGTATCAGCCCTACAGCAGCAGCTGTATGAAGCACGCAAATCTTTTTCTGACCTGGAGGAAAGCAAACTGTCCCTGGAGAAAGACATCTCTTGCAAAACAAACTCCCTCCTCATCGACCGAGAGAAGTGTATGACGCTACCCTTCTGTCACAGTGTTGTCTGGATACTGACAGTCTCATAATATGCACTATTCACCAGGAGGTCTGGATCCATTAGACAGTAACTTCCAGTGGCATGCAGTGTGTGTGCATTTTAGTGTTTTTAGTGCATCAGTGTTTTTTGAATGCAGTTTTAAATGATAAATTATATCTTTAAGTGGTTTAGTGTATACCTTTTATTTGTCATTTATATTTCTTTCTACATACTGTATTATAAAAGAAGTGAACTGTCTTAGGCCTACACAAATTTACACTTAAAGTTATACTATTCAAAAATTTAAATTCTGTCCTCATTAACTCACCCTCATAACAATTCAAACCTATATGGCTTTATTTCTTATGCAGAACACAAAAGATTCTGAAGAATGTTTTTTAACTGTTTTTGCCTATACAATGAAAGTCAGCAATGTCCAAACTAAAGCTGTATACCACTGACTTTTATTAAATTATGACAGTGTTTGTTAATGATTAATAAAAATTCAAACATACATGACATATGAAAACTATTATTACTGTATTTTTTTTAAGTCATTACAATAACAATGAAATATTTCTGAAAATGAACTCAACGAACTGGCATCTGTGGAAAGACAACTGGTATCTGTATGGTAAGACTACTTTGAGCCCACAGACTGTCTGATGCAAATACAGACAAAACTGGAAAGCACTTTCTCTATTTAAATTTACATGAGAAACATAATTTCATCAGTCCATGTTTACAAACTACAGGGTTAATATTGAGTTAGCACTACAGTTGGCACTGCTCCATCCTTCAGGAACAATTTTTGTGCAAAACCTGCTTTATACTGACCCTCATTCACAAAGCAGTCCGGTGTAAAATGATTTGTGCAGACATAAATGAATTTCTGTAGAGTTGAGGGAGCATTTTCTTCTAAAACAAAATTCCACCTCATCTTCAGCGGCTGAGATTTCGGGAGTAAATGGAGAGAGCTATGTGGATTAATATATCCAGCTACAGAACACCTAAAACGCTTGGGAGACATTCTGGTCAGTGCAGCAATGGCGGACTGTGTACAACTCGCTCAGGGCGGTTCTATGTTAAAACGGCAGTGTCTGTCAACTTTCGTGGGCGGGGCCTGTGGCTAATGTGACGTCACATTAGCACCAATGCTAAAAATAGGCCATTGGGAGACACTGCTTATTATTTATGGGGATTAAAAAAAAAGGAGTGGGTGGATTTGTATCATTACAGGGTGGTTGTGTACACACACTGCTAACACACATTTATGTTCAAACACCATGTAGAAGTGAATTTTACATAATAGGGGCTCTTTAAGGAAAATGGCCTTTCAAGGGACCATTGCAACCCTTCAGATATGTCCAAACACCTTGCAAAAGTGAATTTTGTATAATAGGTCCCCTTTCCAGCAGTTTAGTAGGTAGTTGAGGGGGTTTAGCCTAGTAGGGGTGTAGTCTATATAGTTTAGGGATATTGGTAAATAAGTCTGTGAAATGTATGTAAATTGAAAAACACACAAATTACTAAATTGCAGTGATGGCTTCGGTTACAACACTTTCATTGTATCAAATTCTTCTATTTACCTTGTGTTTACTGGCATCTAGTGGTCTCTTATCAGTCCTGGCCATTCCAATAATTTAAATAGATTGACTAATCACATTCCTCCAATAGCTGGTGGGTGTCCTGGTACGCTATGACTGACTTTGCATCATTTGGAGGGATGCTGCACACAGGTGGTGGTAGAGGAGATTTCTCCACTCTGTCGGAAGGTCTCTCTCCAGTGTGAATTCTCATGTGACTTTTAAGGCTTTGTTTCACTGTGAAACTCCTTCCACATTCAGAGCAGATGAAAGGTTTCTCTCCAGTGTGAATTCTCGTGTGTCTCTCAAGGCCTTGTTTCACTGTGAAACTCATCATACAATAAGGGCAGGCAAAAGGTTTCTCTCCAGTGTGAATTTTCATGTGCCTCTCAAGGGTAATGTTCATTGTGAACCTCTTTCCACACGCAGAGCAGATGAAAGGCTTCTCTCCAGTGTGAATTCTCATGTGGTTTTGAAGGTGTCCTTGCTGCATGAAACTTTTTCCACACTCAGAGCATGTGAAATTCTTCTCTCCAATGTGAATTCTCACGTGTCTCTTAAGGCCTTGTTTCACTGGGAAACTCTTTCCACACTCGGAGCAGGCGAAAGATTTCTCTCCAGTGTGAATGGTTATGTGACTTTTAAGGTGCTCTTGTTCTGTGAAGCTCTTTCCACACTGAGGGCAGGTGAAAGGCTTTTCTTCCATGTGAATGCTCATGTGTCTCTTAAGGTTTCTGTTCACTGTGAAACTCCTTCCACACTCAGAGCAGGTGAAAGGTTTCTCTCCAGTGTGAATTCCCATGTGACTTTCAAGGTGTCCTTTTTCCATGAAGCTCTTTCCACATTGGGTGCAGGTGAATGGTTTCTCTGCAGTGTGAATTCTCACGTGTCTCTTAAGGCTCCTGTTCACTGTAAAACTCTTTCCACAATCTGAACAGGTGAATGGTTTCTCCCCAGTGTGAATTCTCATATGAATGTTAAGCTTTTGTTTCTCTATGAAGCTTATCCCACACTCGGAGCAGGTAAAAGGCTTCTCCCCAGTGTGAATTCTGATGTGTCTCTCAAGGCTTTGTTTAAATATGAAACTCATTCCACACTGAGGGCAGATGAACGGCTTCTCTTCCGTGTGAATGCTCATGTGCTGCTTAAGGTTTGCTTGCATCTCATACTGATGACATGTGACAGAATCTTCTTTCTGTTCTTTAAGATCTAAAATAATCAATGTCAAAAATCACTTTATGGACAATTACGTTGAGACAGTAACAGCTGCACAGTAACGGACAGTAATAGATGTGCACCCCAAACAATAGAGTAAGATGAACATCATAAATATGCATCTTCACTAAATCAGATTAGAGTTTGGGATGCACATGTGTACTCAAGTAACTTAAGCAAGAATCTGTTTTAAATTGTTATTACACAACTCTCTTAAATTCTTCATTCTGATTGGTCAAACATGGCTTCTGATATATTTATTGTTGTGCAAGGCAACTCAGGTTTTTAGTTCGCTGGGTAACTGAAACCTGCGGCATGTTTTCATGTCTCTCACATCACACTATGAACTGAACTCATTTCATTCAAATGAAAATGCATATTTCAGTATTAATATTTTTTGAAGTGTTCATCTTGTTGCTCGGTTAATTTTTATGTTGCAGTGGACTATTTGTTTTTCTTAGCAGAAGCTTTAAGATAATATATAGGCAGGATTATAAAATAAATTCAACTCAAATCAGTATTTCATATCCACCTGTTTATTTTTATGGTGAGCAGAGCTGTGTAATAAGCAGGATAATGTGCAGTTAGTTGATCAACATACTTTTTACACAAATCATTTGTTGTGATGCCATATTCAACAAAAATACATTACAATATAATGTAATATAAAATATAATGTTGAATATGGTATTAAAATATGATTAGAATGTAGGCCTACCCCTAGTTTCTCTGACCTGCTGTTGTACTTGAGTGGTCTTCACTGCATGGAAGGAGGCATCTGGCATTAAATATATATATCTGAACTTGTTTTAGTTGAAACACTTGAGCATTATGTGCATAGACATTTAATGATACTTTACATGATTTGTCAAATTCAGAGTCAATTGACCTGATTTTTGCCCATTTCTCATGAGACTTCTCTTTAGTTAATTTGACCAACAAGAATCTTATTAAATCATCAAATCTAAAAAATCGCGTTTTCTAAGGCATTGGCCTTCTCTGGTCTAAATTTTAGTCTGTTATTTTTAAAATACAGCTGGTCTATATATTCCCAGCTATTTCGGACATTTAAACATCTGGAGTAACAACCTTTCCAAATCGGCATAAATCATTTGATACTCGTCACTTTTCATTAGTCGCAGTCAACAGAATAAACATAATCTTTTAACTTATTTGATTCTTTGTAACTGACAAAGAACCAACTTACACGGCCTTTTGTTCTTGCAATCTTGTATAGGTAAGGACGGGCAGGTTTTCGTCTGCGCATCTGGAGTCTCTGGGGTCTGATTGTTTTCATGCTGCTCCATCTTTATCACCAGGAAATGTTCGATGCCGCTTATTTCATCAGCCTCCATCAGTCAGGTTTCATTCACTCTATTCTCTAATGGATATTCTACAACCAAAACGGATTTGGTTTGAAATCACTGATTTGGCTTTCTTTTTAAACAAGCTTCCAAGTTTCCATAAACGAAGCTGTTATTCAGTGCGCATATCAAACTGGTCGAGTCACGTGATTTCAGCACCGAGGCCATGCTGCCGCGTCATATACTGCTCGGAAACGCTTTGATATTTCAAGTGTTCACCGCTAGGGGGCGACGATCAGCTGAACCAGGGGTGCACAATCTTGTTTCTGGAGATCTACCTACCTTCAGAGTTCAAATCCAACCCTGAGCACGTACCTGTCTATAATTATCAAGTGCTTTTGAAGATCTGTATTATCAAAAGGGAGATGCAAAATGTGCAGTGTTGGGGGGGGGGTTGGGGGACAAGATGTGCAGTGTCTGCAAAAATCCAAAAAGCCTCTCTTTGTACCAATTTATAACAAAGAGAGGCTTTTTGGATTTGTGAGTTGAAATCATTAACCCTGACTGGATTAAATGAAGAGATGGATCTTGTATGTTTTTTTGTAAAGGGAAATTGCTGGCATGACAATTATCCCTCATTGATTAAGATCAGCTGTCAACAATTTGCAATTGTGCCTATTTAAGTGTGTTGTTGCTTTTTTGCTTTAAAAATGCATGGGCTGAAACGTCTGCTCTTTGGTCTGTTTTTAATACATTTTGCATATGGCTAATAAAAACTACTTTTTTGAGAGACCTTTTTTGGTCTGATCGGAAAAAAAGTTCAGTGTGCGGACAAATTCAGCGACTTGTTGGACTATATTATATTTAATAAATTAATTCAATGGCATAATCAAACAAATTGACTACATCACTCTTCTCCGATAACTGCCCGATGTGCTGGTGCGCTATGACTGCCATCACTTCATTTGGATGGATTCTGTACACAGGTGACAATAAGCTTCTCTCCAGTGTGATTTCTCATGTGACGTTTAAGATTTTTATGTTGCCTGAAGCTCTTCGCACACTGAGGGCAGGTGAAAGCAGGGCCGTGCAGAGACCTTTAGAGGGGCAGGTGCTCAAAGTATAAAAGGGGCACACATGGAACACGGCTTTTAATAGGGCTGAAACGGATGCTTCTGTATTGATACAGCAGAAAATTGTGACGCAGTTTTGAAAAAGAAACAGAACAGAAAAGACGATTTTAAATGTAAAAGTTAAAGATTGTTTTCTTTGCACCTCTTAATTACTCTGGAATTAGAAACTGAATTATATTATTGATATTATTATTATTATTATTATTGAGTTTACAGGATATGGTGGTTTTGCTGTTGTAAACACTACTGTTGCTGTTGTAGAAAAAAATATTTCTGTCTTATTTAAAAATTCTATTCTAATCCTGTTCTGAATTTATTCATTTTTTTTAATAATGATGATAAAAACAGGATTGATAAATATAATTCGGAGGATGAGAAAATCAGTATTAGCCTTACCAGTGTTGTAATTATTTTTAAGGCACTTTACGTTTTTTAAATAAATACTGTAAAAATAATAGTTCAAAGTATGAATAGTTTTTAGTCAGATAACATAAAAAAGACAAGACCCCTCAATGCCCTTTAAACTTTTCCCAATTAAACAGCAAGAACGAAAGAGAAAATATTTAATTTTAATAAAATGTAAATTCGTCCCCTGCATTTTATTCGGGCAGGTGTGCTCTAGATTTAAATTAAAAGAGAGCATGGATAGTCTATGCATGACCTGACGTTTTATTCGTATCCAAAATGAGGAGATGTGAATATCAAGAGCGCTGAACTCTCATGCAGTGCATGTTTCATTCATACTCGAAGCCAGAGGGTGCTCTCGTGCAGAAAGTCCAAAACAGACTCATAGAAGTAATAACTTATGACGTGCAGGAAATCCCTAATATGGACAAAAGCATCTGGCTATTGCTGTAGCTGAGTTGAATAAAAAGCACAAACGTTACTGATGAAACGTGAAGACAATAAACACACGATTGTGAAAATATATGGTTTGTGTTTTTCAAGTTATCGCCAGCTCATAAATAAACTATAAGAATAATGCTGTACTGATTGACATATCATTTAGTATAGAAACTAAGATATATTTCCTGCCTTATTCTGTGATAAATATGGGGAAAAGGTAGCCTTTATAAACCAATCATAAAATTGTCATTAGGAAAATTTTGAACAAAAATATTATAGCCCCTTGCTGCAGCTAACGTTACTTCCACAGGCTACACACAGCAATATAAACAACATCTGTGCATCCTCTCTTCACGCGTTCTTGTAAAATAATAATAATTGAATAATATAAGTATACAAGCACACTGCTCCGCTGAGAACTCCACTTACCAGCAGCCGTGGACGTTATTGAAGATATTAGTACGCTAAATTACAAAAGGTGTCTGAATGTGAGGGATCATCCAGGATGAGATCATCAGGGGAAAGGTCATCATGTGGATCATTTTATTTATGGCTAAATTATTATTCATTATTTTACTAATAGTTAGATTGGGCAGGCCTTCACAAAAGGGCGTTTAATTACAAAAAAAAATTGCCTTGACAAAAGGGCACTTTGGGCATCAAGGGGAAAAGGGGCAGGTGTTATAGGGCATGCCCATTTGCAGGGCTGTACGTTAACTTTTTTTTAACATAGCACTGGTGCTACAGAGGTTGAAAGTTTTGTAGCACAGGCCAAAAAGTTGTAGCACACGTATAAAACGTCTGAAAACAAACACAAGTAATGGAGTTCATCACTTAAACAGGCACTGATGTTCCATACAGAGCACAAAAAATACAAACCATCACAAAAATTGTTTTTGACAAAGTTTTCTTAATTTGCTAAAAATGGAAGAGTGCAGAAACATAACACCTCTTACACCTTAACAAAATATAAAATAAAAAATTTTGTAGCACGTGCGACATACAGCCCTGCCATTTGGCATATTCTGTGTATGGACGCTTTCGAACGCTGCTTCATGAGGCTTCGAAACGTTCTGAATCTTTTGATTCGAAGGGTTCAGTGCGAGTGAATTCCACAAACGAGGCTTCATTATGTCTCCGGGTCTCGAAATGTCGATGGTTCGCCGCTAGAGGCCGCTGATCTGGTGGACCCATGAACCAGTGTATAATGGCTTTAACTGATCTCGGTTCAGTTTAGATTCAGTTACATTCCACAAAGTAGGGATTAATGTAGTATTTTAGGATCTCAAAAGAATGCAAGTCATGCAGCTGGTTTGTGGAAACCCCATTGCAGAAAACCTGTGCCTGGTCTCAGTAATCAGTCAAGCTTATGTTATCCTTCAGGGCCGTGCACAACCGACATGCTGAGGAGCAGTGGCCAGAACCAGGGGAAAGGACAGCAAAGCTTTAGGCTACTCTAGAGACTGTCTGAGTGGCTGCCACTGCATGTTTAATCTGCCTCAAACTCCGTAGACCTTTTCTAATCAATGATTAGCTCACAATCAGCGACTGGTAAAAAAAAAAAAAAAAGTTTTAGGCTGGATCTATGAATTCAGTAATAAGCATTTGCAATAACTGGGCACAGATGACATTCTCCCACCCTTCAATCATCGGACATCAAAAGAAGATTCTTAAATACATTTCGCAGCAACATTACGGACGTGTTAAATATTACTGTAATAATATAGCTTATCTAAGAATATATGCCCCCAGTTTCACAGACAAGGCTTAAGTTCCAGACTAAAATGTAAGTCTGAGCTGTTTCAACTGAAAGAAACTTGCACTGACTGATTTTTAAATATATCAGTGCCTTTGTCTCAAGATGCACACCAGTAATGTTTTTTCTAAGGCATGTTCATAAAAATTACTTAAATTAACTATGGCCTAATCCTGGCTTAGTCTAAGCCCTGTCTGTGAAACCAGGCCATGGTGTATTAATGTATGTCGTGTTAATCGAAATGTTTTGTTTGGTGAATATTAAGTGCTTTCCATTATATTGACATATTGTATTTCCCTGCTTTAGAAACATTCCTGTAAACACTTCTAATAGGGATATTTTACAGTGCCAGGATGAAAATTACACTTGAAAGGAGAGGTGATGACAACATGAGATGTCAACATGTTTTATTTAAATCAACAAAACAACATACCCATGTGCTTAGTAAGAAAACAAAACCAGAACAAACTGAGATGGTTTAGGTGTTAAAATAATCAGTACATTGGAATTTAAAAAACATTTAAACTCGTTTTGATGGTATAAAATGACCAAATGTTCTTTGGAATGTTCTATGGTGACTCTGTTCAGTGCACATTCAAAATAAGATTGCATTGCTAAAGAAAAGCTTTGGGTGGATCAGTTTGACGCATTCCAACCTGCAAGTCCTAAAATGGCCATCTAGATTCTATGTTGAGTACACGCTGTTTATCGGACTCTACATAGCAACAGCCTTCAAAACGGATAATCACACAGATAATCCATCCGTCCATTCTCCAAACGGCTTATCCTCTGTAGGATCACGGGGGGCTGAGTCTGTCCCGGGGAAACACCCTGGACAGATGGGCAGTCCATCACAGGGCTCACACACATTCACACAAACACAGCTAATGTACGTTGAAATTCAAGTTGTAACAAACAGTCTGTAATGGTCATCTGCAAATAGGACTCTGATGTAAATATAAGCATTATCAATTTCTATTCATGGTTTTGAAAATCTAAACCTAATCATTGTCTGAAACCGTCAAATTTTGACTTTAGATTTGTAGTGTTTTGTTTTTTAAAGTTTTTGAATCTCACCATATAATAATAGGCTATCATTTTTTGTTGGTTATTTTGCGTGTGAGGCAGCCGTCTGAAGTGAATTTATATAGAACCCTTTTAGTTCAAATTTTCCTTCTTAAATTTTGTGAATAAAAACAATAACTAAGTTGCTAGTCTGATTTACATGAAGTAATTGATTTAAAAAAACAAAAGTATAAAATATTTTGATCATGAGACTGCAGAGTAAGACTAAACATAATATTTGATAACAGTTTTATTACGGTACATAAATATTAAAGTCATTATTAAATCAAAATTGACAATTCCTAATTTTATGGAAGAATGCAATGTTTATTCTAAAATATTTAAAAATAATTATTTAATTATTATTATTATTATAATAAATAATTATTTACAATTCATGTGCCCTTGTCATTTTTAATCAAAATAACTTTCCCTCCCCCTTGCAATGACATCTCGTCTTATGATGTGCGACAATAACCCTTCTCCCTCCAGCAACCTGACACTCATGAGATCGCAGCAATAGCAAACGGCAACGATCCAGTCAACTCTCGATGGACAAAATCAAGTCCTGCATTTTTTTCTAGTTCAGGAAGTCGTTTCACTTGGATATACGGCACAACAGTCACAACAGGATGAAACAGAGCCACAACAGTCACAACAGGATGAAACAGAGCCAAGGTACATTTTGACTCATTCAAATCTTTGAATGAAAGTGATAAGCAACTAACACTGACTTTCTGTTTTGCAGCAGCTAAGTGGGGAAAAGCTGGGCCAGACATTTTAGAAGTTGTCATTGCCTCCCTGCCAGTTTCTCTTCCTCATGAAGATTTTTGTCTGACATTCAAAATTATTCAAATGTATTGTCAAGTTAACTCTTCTGTAGCAGAAGAGCATGAGGGAGGAAATGAAGTGATAAGAAATGAGCAGTTTATTGAATAACCTTAGATATTTGTGTTAGTCAATGCATTGACTTTATCTAAACAGAAACATATACATGTTCTTATAACAAGAAAAGGTTATGGGAATTTGCTGCTTAACAGTGTATGCGGTCATGAAAAGACTTCGTATCCTGAGCATGCAGAGATGATAAAGTTGTTCTTTCCATCTGTTACAGTTCTTACAGATTCATGAAACTTAAAGGGATAGTTCACCCAAAAATGAAAATTTGCTGTTAATTTACTCACCCTCAGCCCATCCAAGACGTGAATTTTTTTTATCTGATTTGATTTTTTTCTTCTTCAGCAGAACAGTAAAGAAGATTTTTAGGTGAAACCGTTGTCATTGGGGATTCATACACTGCACGTCTGTGGCTGCTTCTACACAGAGAAGACCAAATCAATACCCGTGGCTCCTGACGATACATTGAGGTCTTCTGAAGCAAAAAGATCAGCCTGAGCAGAAAATTTACTGTTAATTTACTCACCCTCAGCCCATCCAAGAGGTGAATTTTTTTATCTGATTTGATTTTTTTCTTCTTCAGCAGAACAGTAAAGAAGATTTTTAGGTGAAACCGTTGTCATTGGGGATTCATACACTGCACGTCTGTGGCTGCTTCTACACAGAGAAGACCAAATCAATACCCGTGGCTCCTGACGATACATTGAGGTCTTCTGAAGCAAAAAGATCAGCCTGAGCAATAAAATGAACATTATTAACAAAATTATTATTTTTAAACCACAGCCATGGGCAAACAGTTCTCAGTGCATTCACAACTCTCTGGAGCGTGAACTTCCTATGTCGCATAATGACGTATACACACACAGGTGCATTCTCACATGTAAGCTGATTACGCTGTTTGTTTACAACGAAGAGCGAGGGCACATGTGTTTTACTGTTCGTCAAAATGGTACTTACCTGTGCTTATCCTGGATGCTGGAACCGATTTAAAAAGATTACTTTTGCTGACGCAATCCCATTGAGGAAGATTTGACTTTTCACAGATTTCCGACCTTTGATCCAGATAGATTCTACCTCTGACACTTAGAACACCACCATGTTTCAACAGTCCTCAGTATCACCAAGGCTTGTGCCGCTGCGTCCTCCAATCCTCTCCGTTCTCACTCTCCGTTGTAAACAAACTGCATCATCAGCTTAAATGCTAAAATGTTACTTTTAAATGTTAAATTTTTTTTCTTCTAAAATGCTTGTTAAACGAGTTTAAATATATGTAATATTGTAAACTATGCTGTAATCACCCAAATGTTTTTAATTTCTCATATCTTTGTCCATGGGTGTTCTTGCTTATTAATAAATATTCATCTTTTGATTATTACTGTTGCCTCTAGTAATTCTGCGTGTGATTTATTTCCAGCCCATTTTAAACCAGCAATATAGTAATTTTTAAACAACAGTTGAGTAAAAAAAAAAAACTCAGCATGTTGAGTAAAACATTTAATCCAACCAGCTGGGTCAAAACAACACAGCATGTGTTCTGTCCAATATTACCCCAGTGCTGGGTTGCCAGATAACCCAGCAATGGTTGTTTTTAACCCAGCATTTTTTAGAGTATATATGTTTTTATATTCAAAAACGGTGTCCTGACATTTTACCCTACTCGTCAGATTGTCCTGCCTGGGCTTACTGCGCATGTGCACATCAATATTGTGTCATTTTTTGTCATGCTGAACAACACATTATTACTGTATTTGTATTACTGTAAGGGTAGGTTTGGGGTTGCGGTAGGTGTAGACGTAAATAAAGCACAATCTGATAGGTAGCATTTTTCAATGTCAAATTGTGCTCCCAATTGTTTTAATGGGAGGTAGCAAAATCTGATGGGGTAGCACAAATCGTCAAAACACCGGCAGCCACAGACGTGCAGTGTATGAATAGCCAAGGACAGCAGTTTCACCTAAAAATCCTCTTTACTGTTCTACTGAAGAAACAAAAGTCACCTACATCTCGGATGGCCTGAGGGTGAGTAAATTAACAGCAAATTTTCATTTTTGGGTGCCTATTCCTTTAAATGTTATTTTTTGTACATTAGGTTATACATTATTAGAAAAACATCACATAAATCAATATTAAAATATAAGGTATAATAAACATTCAAAATATGCAGAATAATTGTGTAAATATATAATTAAGGGGAAACACCGCAGCTCCCATAATAATGAACAATAGAAACACTTACTCATTAAGAGTAGAGTAATTGTCCTGTTGGTCTCTTATTGGTCATGACCTCCTAGTCATATAAACAGATTGACTACATCACTCTCCTCCGATAGCTGGTGGGTGTCCTGGTATGCTATGACTGCCATCACTGCATTTGGATGGATGCTGTACACAGGTGACAGCAGAGGAGATTCCCCAACTCTGTCAAAATGCATCTCTCCAGCGTGAATTCTCATGTGACGTTTAAGGTGTCCATGTTGCGTGAAGCTCTTTCCACACTGAGGGCAGGTGAAAGGTTTCTCTCCAGTGTGAATTCTCATGTGATTCTCAAGGTTTTGCTTCACTGTGAAAGTTTTTCCACACTCGGAACAGGTAAAAGCCTCCGCTTCATTGTGAAGTTTCATGTGACTCTCAAGGCTTTGTTTCACAGTGAAACTTTTCCCACATTCACAGCAGATGAAGGGCTTCAGCCCAGTGTGAACTCTCATGTGACTATCAAGGTTTTGTTTTATTCTAAAACTCTTTCCACACACGAAGCAGGTGTAAGGCTTCTCTTCAGTGTGAATTTTCATGTGTCTGTCAAGGTTGGTTTTCATTGTGAAACTGTTCCCACATAGAGGGCAGATGAAAAGTTTCTCTTCAGTGTGAATTTTCATGTGTCTCTCAAGCTTTTGCTTCATTGTGAAAGTCTTTCCACACTCAGAGCAGGTGAAAGGTTTCTCTCCAGTGTGAATGGTCATGTGGCTCTCGAGGCTTTGTTTCACTGTGAATCTCTTTCCACACTGAGGGCAGGAGAAAGGCTTCACTCCAGTGTGAATTCTCATGTGACTCTCAAGGTTTTGTTTTACTGTGCAACTCTTTCCACACTCAGAGCAGGTGAAAGGTCTCTCCCCAGTGTGAATTCTCATGTGACTCTCGAGGCTTTGTTTCACTGTAAAACTCTTTCCACATTCAGAGCAAATAAATGGCTTCTCTCCAGTGTGAGTCCACATGTGACGTTTAAGACTTTGTTGTTGTGTGAAGCTCATCTCACAGATTGAGCAGGTGAAAGGTTTCTCTCCGATGTGAATGCTCATGTGACTTTTAAGACACTGTTTTGCTGTGAAACCTTTTCCACACTGAGGGCAGATAAACGGCTTCTCTCCAGTGTGAACTCTCATGTGACTCTCAAGGCTTTGTTTTACTTTGTAACTCTTTCCACATTGAGGGCAGATGAACGGTTTCTCACCAGTGTGAGTTCTTATGTGACGTTTAAGGTATCCTTGTTGCGTGAAGCTCACTTCACACTGAGGGCAGGTGAAAGGTTTCTCTCCAGTGTGAATTCTCATGTGACTTTTAAGGCTTTGTTTCGATGTGAAACTCTTATCACATTGAGGGCAGAAGAAAGGTTTCTCTCCAGTGTGAATCCTTAAATGAGCCTCGAGCTTTTGTTTCTCTGTGAAACTCTTTCCACACTGAGGGCAGATGAATGGTTTCTCTTCAGTGTGAATTCTCATGTGCTCCTCATGACTTGCCTCCTTAAAGAAATGCATCCCACATTCATGGCGAGTGACAGAATCTTCTTTCCGTTCATTCTGATCTAAAATAAACATTAAAATATCTATGTAAAAAATCAATTCAAGGATAATTAAGGTGAGATTGAGCCAAAGTAAGTTTAACAGCAGAATGCGACAAAGGTCTCTGATATAGTAAAGGTTAAATCTGTCATTCTGATGTTGTTACAATTAATGTTCTTGTCTATAGCATTTTCCACTATAAGATAGAGTTAGGTCCCATTTATACCCAGTACTAAGATCCAACTCACTTGTATTTGTTAAAATGGGTGTAAACAGGATGCAAAATTCAAACCACATTCATGGCTGGTCAGGGATGCATGTGGTCACGTTAGCCATGTTTCCACTGTCAGGCCAAAGGCGAGTGTAATGGAGGCGTGAGCTGTTTGGGAAAAACATCACTCCCCTCAAGAGGCGCACTAGAGACTGACGCTAGAGGCTGCGGTCTTAAGTGTCCTTGTTAGCGCACCCACCTCCCATGCTCGAAATGCTGGTTCAAATCCCGCTCGGAGAGAGTGAGGGGAGTAGAACCGGAGGGGTTACACTGGTGCCGTGACCTGGGTGGGAGTGAGGTTTAGGGAGTTGAGTGTAACGGAGGCCAGCTGGTAAGAGCTGCGCAGGTAAACCTCACTCCCCTGATCTCAAGAGGTGCACCAGCGACTGATGCTAGAGGCTGTGGTCTTTAGCGTCCTTGTTAGCACCCGCCTCCTATGCCGGTAACTCCAGTTCAAATCCCGCCCGAAAAGAGTGAGGGGAGTAAAACCCGAATGGGTTACAGTGGTGCCGTGACACGGATGGGAGTGAAGATTAGGGGGGTGAGTGTAACGGAGGCCAGCTGGTTAGTGCTGTGTGGGTAAACCTCATTCCCCTAATCTCAAGAGGCGCACTAGCGACTGACACTAGAGGCTGCGATCTTTAGCATCCTTGTTAGTGCGCCCGCCTCCCATGCTGGTAACACCGTTTCAAATCCCGCTCAGAGCAAGTGAAGGGAGTAAAACCCGAAGGGGTTAAATTGGTGCCGTGACCCGGATGGGAGTGAGGTTTAGGGGTGAGTGTAACGGAACCAACAGAAACGTTGGTTCCCATTCGGTGCAAGCGAGGGGAGTAGAACAGGAGGGGTTACACAAGCATGCTAATGGGAATTCTTATCACCGTATGAGGCAGAAATAGGTTATTTATAGATTTATATGAGATGCTAAAGGCTAAGTATTCTTATAAAAATACCGGAGACTGTTTGAAGAACATATATGATTATAATCTTGTAGTTATTTGGTAAATCATCACAAAAGTTTGCTTCTGTCATTTTGCAATCAAGCTAGTCTTCATTCATCTTCCCCTTGTTGGTGAAATGGTGGGGTTGTGTTCTGTGTTGTTCTATTTAGACGTGTCAAGGGTGGGTTTTAGAGTAGCGTTGCAAGGCTACTGACCAGACATTGGAAATGCAGCTTGATTTTGTCCTCGTGGCTTGGGATCCAAGGCTATTGGCCCCGCTCAACTCATTGTAAGCCCTGGCTCACAATGGCCTGACAGTGGAAAAGCATATAACTATTATGACAAAAAAAAAAGTTTAAGCATCACTATCATTTTAATACACATCTGGGACACGTTCACTGTGGAGAGAGCATGTACATTAAGACTTCTTTAAAAAGCAGTGAATAAAACAACTAGCATATAAATGTTTACCATTCACAAAATGGAATGCTTTTTAAACAATTATGTGAAGTAACTTTACATAATCACAAATATATGTTTATAGCTAGTTTATATTGTTATATTTATTAATCACTGTTTTATAATTTGATTTTGCAGTCATGTGAAATATTGTTTCAATTATAATTTTTTATTCTATTCCCCCCACCCCCATTTTCTATTATAATGAACATTTTACAGCATGCAAAATGTTTTGGAAGGCAGTCAATAAAGAAATATACTTTTGTTTGGAGAGTGCTGTATTATGTCTTTTTAATTTTATTAAAAGGAATGAATGATCATTTATTCAAGTATCCAAAAATCACAATTTCACTAGGCTTCTCTGGCTTCAGTCTGATTTTAGATTTTTTTTAAGTTGCTCTTACAAATCCGCAACTATTGTGGTCATTTCAACATCTGGAATAACCACCTTTATAGGCTTATAAATAATTTGACACGTGGCTTTATTGGTCACGATTAACAGATTAATGTAACTTATTTGATTCTATGAAATTGACAAATAACCAACTTACACTGTTTTTCATTGTTCTGCTCTTGTCTAGGTGACGACTGGCAGGTTTTTGTCCTCACATCTGGTGCCTGTGTGGTCTGGTCGCTTTCATGCTGCTCCATCATAATCCATCAAGTTTATTTCGCGGAATATCCGTTAGTCAGTTTTAATTCATTCTAATCTCTAATAGACATTCTACAACCGAAACTGATTTGGCTTATAATATAAGCAGCATTAATGTAGCGATGGGCGCTTTCAAAACACGGGTTCATGAAGAACCGAAACGTCAACGATTCTTTTGTTTCGAATCAGTGGTTCGGAGCACGTATCAAACTAGTGAGGTAATGCGATTTCAGCAAGTGAGGCTTCGTTACGTCAAAAGTTGAACATTTCGATGTTTTGCCACTAGAGGGCGGTGAACTCGGTGTTATCTGGCGAACTCAGTGTTGCTTAATTTAATGTTAAATTCGGCTTTTCAAGTTATAAAGGCAATAAAATAATCAACAGATATTTCTATAGATTATATATAAATAAATAAATATGTATATACAGGCAACAGTCTGTTAACATTGGCATAAATAAATAACATTTCAGAAATACATCAAACATAATACAGAACAAAGTTGACATTTTATCACCTTATTAACAAATCAATTGCAACACATAATATTTGGTGGAAATGCCTAATTTCAAACAAGAAAAACAGTCTTCTGCATCAATTTTGATGAATTTGGCAAAACTAACATTAATGAAAAATGTTCCTCTGCATTAAACATGGCAAGTGACAGAACAGAAGTTAATAAGGCTGAAATATAGTGTCATTCGGTAAAGATTTTGATTTATTGATTATTTCATGACGTAAAAATATCCAGTAGACTGATAAAGTTACCGACAAAACCTTTGGAGAATGATTCCAGTGCTCAATACTCACCATAACGTCTTGAAACGTGTAACGCTGAATATACGTCTTCTGATTGTGTTTGTTGCTGTCTTCGGCTGAATCTGTCTCAGCTCGCTCTCCCGCGCATCCGCATTTGAATTCTCAATCCCAACGGCTTTCCTCAGGCGCATGTTGTGCATGCATGTGTAGAGTTATTTGAATGTAGGACTTTTCCCACTTCGACAGTAAATTGACTGAGCTCAGTTGTTCGGTGTATGTAATACTATAATTTTTGTTTTGGTATAATTGCTTGAAAGTCATTTGCAATTATCACTTTGCACAACTTTTCAAAATAAAGTTTTTACATTGTAGTAACTTAGCTGCAGTCCGTAACTTGTTGCGCTCTAGCGGTTAATAAACAGAACTGCGTGCGTTTTGCGGAAGAACATTGTAGCCGGAGCTACTTCTCTGTTTATCTCTATGGCGAATCACGCAGGTACTGGGCTACTCCGCAGCGGTACCTACCCGAACCAGTCTAAATAGTCCGAATATAAACACTTATTATAAGTGTACCGTAGTGATTCAGGACAAGCCAAAAACACGGGTTGGAAAATGAATTAATGGTGTACTCGCTTATTATATAAATGTTGAACACAAAAAAGTTACGAACTGCAGCTTTAATGTGATGGGGGGAAAAAAAGCACACGAATGCAGCCGTTTTCAGCATATTAGGCAGTTAATATGTGCATATTATGAATAAATGTAATTAACGTGGTTACAGGAATTTTGTGAATTGTGTGTATCCAGTTGAAAATACTGTGAAACAAAGGCACAGTCTGATGAACAACTCACACTGACCTTCAGCAGCTCAGTGAGAAAAACGACAGGATTTTCTCACACCAGACATTTTAGAAGTTGTCATTGCCTCCAGCCAGCTTCTCTCCCTCTGTTAGATTTTTGTCTGATATTCAAAGGTATTCAAACATTTTGTCAAGTTAACTCTCCTGCAATGAGGCTGATATACAGAAAGACAATGTAGTTATTTTTTCCCATCAGTTACAGTTCTGCCTTGCACAGATTAATGAATCTAAAATGCTATTCTTTGTACAACACAGCATTATCCAGCATTAGAAAAACATGCTAAGAATCAGTATAAATGAAACATATGTAAAGTATAGGAATACGTGAAATGGGTAGCCTATGACAATATTAAGCTTATGTTTCACTGTGAAACTCTTCTCACACTCAAAGCATAGAAGTCTTCTCTCCAGTGTGAATTCACTGTTTCCCTCAAGGTTTCGTTTTACTGTGAAACTCCTTCCACACTTAAGGCAGCTGAAGGGCTTTTCTCCAGTGTGAACTGTCATGTGAATCTCAAGGTTTCGTTTGAACTCTTTTCACATTGAGGACAGTTGAATGGCTTCTCTCCAGTGTGACTTCTCATGTGACATTTAAGTTGTCCTTGTTGTGCAAAACTCTGAGGGCAGCTGAAAGGTTTCTTTCCAGTGTGAGTTTGTATGTGATTCTTAAGGTGTTGTTTCGATGTAAAACTCTTTTCACACTGAGGGCAGGTGAACGGTTTCTCTCCAGTGTGACTTCTTATGTGACATTTAAGTTGGCTTTGTTGCGTCAAACTCTTTCCACACTGAGGGCAGGTGAAAGGCTTTTCTCCAGTGTGAATTCTCATATGCTTCTGAAGGCTTGCTTGTTGAATAAAACACATGCTACTGATGACAAATTAAAGAACCTTCTTTTAGTTCGCTCAGATCAACAACAAAAAAGTAATAAAAAAATAAATTCAAGGACAATAAAGGTGAGAAAGTTAGATTTGCAACCCAATTTATTGGGAGAATACAACAGAGGGTCATTGTTTTATCTTTTGAATCTGTTATTCTCATGTTATTGCCATTCAATTTGGAAATGGTTATACTAATTTATTTTATTTTAGGTTATTATCTTTTAGATGCACTTTGCTTTTTTTCATGTATAGAGAGAGAGATTTACACCTGGTACTAATATCCATCTCACTTGTATCTCTTAATACAGGATTAAACAGGATCCAACACTTTTTGTTGTTACAGAAGATATACTGTGACTTGTTTTTCCAGCTCACAGCATTTTAAAGAATAATAAAGAAATACATTTTAAAAAATGGTAAAAAAAAAACTAAACAAATGTCACCAAATCAGATTACAAATAGGGATGGGCATGAGTACCTAAATAACCCAACTAGCATGTTAAATTTTGTTATTACATGATTTTTTTCAATGACAACACCTTTGTGAAATTAAGCATCATGCATAGACATTGTAATGCTGCAGCTGCTTTATGATGTGTCAAAAAGTGACCCACCCAATAACCTGATTTTGCCTTATTTCTCAGTAATTTTTTTCAGTGTATCACAATTGGTAAATCATCTAAGAAATTACTTTAATCATCAAAAAATCGCTGTTTCTACATTAATTGGTTCTGTGGTTCAAATGTAGTTGGTCTGACAAATCCCCAACTATTGCGGATATTTGAACATTAAATGATCACTTATATGTATCTATATTTTAGATTCTTTTTCATTAGTCACGACCAACAGTTACCATATTCCTTTGACTTATTTGATTCTTTGTAAGTGACAACTAACCATCTTACACTGTCTTTTATTCTCCCGCTCTTCACCAGGTGAGGACTGGCAGGTTTTCGTCTGCACATCTGGGGTCTCTGATTGTTTTCATGCTGCTCCATCTTTATCACCAGGAAATGTTCGATCCCGTTTTTTTCACAGATCGCTCCACCAGTCATTTTTGTCAACTCAATCCACTAAGAAAGATCATGTAACCAAAAATGGTACTTAAAATAAGCGCTTTCAAAACACTGTTCCGAAAGGTTATAATCTCTGTTTTGAATCAGTGGGTCGGAGCGCGAATCACATTGGCCAAGACAAGTCACGTGATTTCCTAATTAGAACCAATTTTAGTTTAGTTTACTTTTAATGTGCACAATTCAGTTTCTCGTTTCAGTCTGAAGTTATAATGTGCAAATCAACAATGTATAAGGGAAAAAAATATAATTCGACACTTTAATAACGTTAGTCTTATTCAGAGGGAGTTTTCTCTCATTGCAGGACAAAAAATGGTGGTTGATGCTTCAGTATAATTTTTAAAAATGTCCATTTGTGTTTAAAGTTTTTATATTATGTATACAGTTTATACATAATATTTATAACATTTACTAGGGACATTAGTAAATCTATCTGTGAAACAGGTTGAAATAGACTTAATATAAGACTTAATATAAGACTTAATGCCTTTCTATTTTGCAGTGGATTAGCGAGATGAAAACCTGCAGGATTTTCACTTCTTCCTCACTTCTGGTGCCAGACTCTGATCATTTTTGTAGTTGTTATTGGCTCCTGTCGGCTTCTCTCCATCAGAAAATATCAGATTTTTTAAAAAATTATTCAAAATTGTTGTCAAGTTAACTCTTCACATCATTAGAAAAACATGGCAAGATAAATATTAAGGAAAGCTATAATGTAAAAGGGATATATAAAATGCATATATGATAAATGAGTAAAGAAATATAAAAATAATGGGAAAAAAACAACAAGCTGAAAAACATTGCTACTTAACTTACTCTGTATTTCTATTAGGGCTATACAAGTTTTTAAATTAACCATCAAGATGACTACAGTTGCTGCAAGTAAACTAACTGTAAAAACTCTCGGTTACAGCATTGCATTTAGGAATTGTCTTATTGTGTCAAATGGCCTAATCATTTAAACAGACTGACTATATCACACTCCTTCAATAGCTGGTGGGTTTTCTGGTCTGTCGAAAGGCCTCTGTACTGTGTGAATTCTCATGTTAATCTTTAGCTTTTGCTTCTCTATGTAACTCTTTCCACATTGAGGGCAGACATAAGGCCTTTCCCCAGTGTGAATTCTCATGTGAACTTTAAGATTTTGTTTGTCTCTGAAACTGTTTCCACACTCAAGGCAGATGTAAGGTTTCTCTCCCCAGTATGAATTCTCATGTGTTTCTCAAGGGTTTGTTTAAAGGGGTCATATGATGCGATTTCAAGTTTTCCTTTCTCTTTGGAGTGTTACAAGGTGTTCGTGAATAGATAAGATCCCTAAAGTTGCAAAGACTAAAGTCTCAAACACAAAGAGATATTCTTTATAAAAGTTAAGACTCGTCCACGCCCTCCTAAAATGCCTCGTTTAAACACGCCCCCACATGTCTACGTCACTGTGTGGGAAGATTTGCATAACACCGCCCAAATGTTCATGCAAAGAAAGAAGATGTAACTTTTATTCTTGCTGTAGTATTGTTGCCGCCGCCGCCATGTCGTGGAGACGCTGTGTGTTTCGTTGTGAAAGCGAAACTACTTTGTTTGGTCTTCCAAAAGAGGACACG